TTTTTTTTTTTTTTTGGAAAAGAAATGGATCATAGCCTTCTTGCATGTTATCTACATTTACACGTGACAAGTTCGATTGTTCCTTAATGGGGAAAAAACTCATAAATTTCCCAAATTTAAGAATGAAACTAGAATTTCTTAGTCCATAGATTCTTCAGAAATCTGTAGCTGAGATTTCACACTAGCTAACAAAACCATTTTAAACTCTAAGCTGACGCAGATAGAACTAACAGAATTCTAAAATAGCTACAATCATTAGAAGATGAGTAGAAAAGATCGCTAGAAGTTCTACCACTAGCATGATTTTTCCTATCAAGATTATATTAAAAAGACTACGCATTTCAAATGACTTCCTCACACTTAAACTATATACAAATCCTATTTTAGGTCGAATAGAGAAATACTTGTAAAATTCTGGTTTTAGAGTTCTACTTGCCTGTATTCTCCGGTGCAGAACTGCCTGTCAGATACAAAGTAATTGAAATTAGGAGACTGAAAGAGATGAGAAAAGTAACGGTAAATAAACAAACTGAATACACAGAAGAGAAAGCAATGTCTCGGGGAAGACATAAATAGTTACAAATACATATAGCTATATGATTATACGCAATATTGTTACATATCAATAGAGGTAAGAGAAGAAAGAAGTTGAACTCCACGAGAGTTCAAGGTACTTGTACTCTTCTTTCTAAGGTGCTTCCGTTCGTCAGGTCGTATTTAGCAAACGTGGATTCAATTTAACAAAGAAATATGACATTTCCACCCATCCTAAACTCGATGAATCTTTGGTATGCTTCCCTTCTTCTTCACTTTTTTGTGAACTCTTGATTTGTATTTCCTTGCATTCTTCAATTTTTTTTCTCGAGGAAAATCAGTTTTCTTTCATTTAAAAAAAAAAAAATCGATGGAGCTATCCGTGGATTTTAATAGAGCAACGGAGCAGAGTAGACCTCCGGCTTCCTGCTAACGCAAACTTATACTCCATAACAAAGCTAAAACTTCAACAAAAAACCTTACGACTAGTAAATAATTCACATCGCTTCGCAGCAATCGAAGATCATTAAAGAATAAAAGAAGAACAAGCAGAAGAAAGCAGTGTGGATACCGAAAATTCTCGGCGGTTTTTGGAGCAATATCGGCGAAGAGCTCCATCTTGATACGACCAGCGGGAATAGTGCCAATGGTGACGTCGAAGAAAACTATTGGATTCTTAGGGTTAGGAGGCCTGACATGCCACTCTACACCTCCACCTGCGGCTCCTCCTACCGACGCCATAGTTGTCACTCTCAAGCTCTCTGAACTTCAGATACTCAGTTTTGGTTCTGCACACTTCGTGGGTTTAAAACAATGAATTTGGGCTTCACTGTCAAATTCCCGTTTCGTGCGAAAAATTACCCGGCAAGTCAAATTTATTATTATTATTCTTTTTTTTCTTTTTCTTTTTGATAAAAAAAAAATATATATAAAATATATAAAATATATATATATATATATAAATACATATAGTCCCGTCTCTATATTTTAAAATTTATGTGGTTTTCATCCTTGAAATTAAATTTTTTTTTTTATCGAGTCTTTAAAGTTTCAAAAATGATTATGTTGAGTTCGTAAATTCAAAAAGATCTCTAACGAAAATGTAGCGGTCAAAATTCTCATACAGAAATATAATACTCCTATGGTTTAGTTATTACTGATTCAAGAACCAAACCCACAAGAGTAACACTGAGAAGCAAATAAGAACGTCCCCGCCTAAATTGATATACCATCCATTAATAAGTTGGGAAGAGATTAACTATAGATAATCTCTTAACCATTCCATCAAAGTGAAAGGTTCATTAAACTGTGAAGCGTTACCCTGCTATAATGTGATGTTTTTTCGGTGCCAATAAAAAGTAACCCATCCAATAATATTTAATGTCTAGAAAACTACCAAATAAAAGGCGTCTAGAGCTAAAATATCACGAGTACCACCTCGTCTCAAATTGTCAAACCGTCGCAAGAAAAACTATAACCAAGATTAATGGGCAACAAGGCTATAAAAATCAGCATCACAACCCTCTTTTATTTTTAAACAACAGTTTCTTTCTCTTGAAGTATTAAATTAGACCATAATTACATGATTAAGGGTAGCTTAGGCGAAGATGTAATCATAGCTCTTAAAAAAACCCATTGACAGTAACAAACAAGATCTGAAACAAAATAGATCAAAATAAATATAAGTAACAATATAGACTATTACAACACGTATGTTATCGAAAAATTGAATTAAAAGATGAGATAAATCCTTCTAAGAAAAGAAAAACGTAACATTCTTGTCAAACTGTCAATTAAGCAGCCTAAACATCATTAACATCATTTAAACAGGGCAAGGTAATAATTTACACTGAAGATTTGGGAATCTTGTACTGTTTCTTGAGAAATTGGGAGGCTTCTGAATCACTCCTATGACACAGTATTCTCAACAAAGTTTTGGAATCTGCCCCTGGCTTGTATCTGCTGCTGTGCATGTTTCCTCCACTAGCAGATCTCAAATCCTCAATCAGTTCTCTGGTC